ATAAGTAAATAAGTATATTATATGTTAATGATTCATTATAATATTTGTTTTTTTTTCTTATGGCGTTATATGTTCGAGAGGTTGAATTTGAATCGTGGATATTCATTAGTCAAAGAATTTGTCAATATTTTATTGTACAAGTTATTTAAATCATCCGGATTTTTTTAATATACCATTTCTTTATTCCACAAAAAAGCATCGGACGGTGTTTTAAGGGAACTCCATGACTAGAGKCCCAAAGGTATCTCCAAGCTGCTTGAAGCACATGAAAAATGCATAATAGCAGTGTTGTTTGTGGAAAACATTCTTGCAATGCATTTCTTTCTGCTGTAGAATCATCGGTCATAAATACTAGAGGATCATTTATGCATYTATTTCCCAGTGCGTTRAGTGGTAATAACTTTTTCCACATTTCCAAACCTAGTCATCATATAGCAATTGATGAAATTATGATTTCTTTCAAAGAAAGGAGTTCAATGAAACAATATTTGAATGCTGTCCCATCCTGAAGACACTACATCACGTTATGATAAAAAGGAATATTAGCTTAGTTAATTCTTGGATAATATATAAAGAAAATTTTCATGACTTATTGAATTTAAAGCATCCATTGTTTGGACAATGCTTCAAATAGGAAAATATGATAATCCTAAATATATTACAAAAATAAATTATATTAAAATATATTAGTTATATTACATTCACAATGCTGAAGGCATACAAAGTATTATTTTAATTTTATACATGGTATAATGTTAACTTGGTTTTTACTTTTTTCACTTTTTTGTTGTTAATGTGGAAATTATAATGATGTTTATGTTTAGTTAATTAATTTAGTAATTGTAAAACTATTGTTATTATTCTATATGGTCACAAGATGTGAGAGCTATTTAAATATAAAATCTTAATATTACATTTTTTTGTAACCATCCAACAAATTTAAAGGGGGTAGGGTGATCTCCCATAATGGTCTCCTCTCAAGTAGGTATACTTTTTATCATTTTTTCAGCTCATTTTTATAATATGAGTTTGTTTTTTTGAAAATCTAAAATCTTGTGCATGAAAAGGTGAATTAAATCACATACAAAAATATACATACATAAAAATATATTTATTTAATTATTTTTTTGTACAAACATAAGTTATATTCATATTCAATAACACAAATTATATTTACACAAATATATATTTTAAGGTAAAATTTGTTATAAGAGCGGTACGAACAACCGAAAAATAGCGCTGAACTTACCCAATAATAAGATAATAGGGCTAGCTTTCAGTCACAAACCAGTGGTGACTTCTCAATCACTAAAAAAATCAGAATTCGCCAAGAAATAGAAAAAAATAAATCATAAACAAATACAAGTCGTGCAAGGTGACGACGAAACCGGCCCATTACAAACTAGGGTGTTTGTTGTGTATTAACAGACAGATTAAACAAAAATAAATCAAT